CTCCATCAGGAACTTGTTGTTTTGGTGTTGGATTCGGGCTACTTGGTTTTTAATGTTTTTGTTATTTTTATAGGAAGGTTTTTGTCTAGTATTTTTATCAAAAGGGGAAGATGATGTAAAAGTGGGAGTTGAATCCCGAATAGTGTACATAAAAGGAGGGGTTACGCCCTCATTGTTCAAAGCACAATCCGAGTCAAGAACATCAAAGGAATTGGAACTAACTAAGGCAGGGGCATTACCCGAACTGCCTGTGAGACATTGTCCTTGAGAATTGAAAGAAATAGAAACAGAATCAAAAATAGAAAAGGGGGTCTTCAGTCCGTCTTTACGCTCCGACCTGTTTACAGCTATGTACAGGTCATCCTCTAAAAAGCCGCCTTAATCGCCTCATGCTCTTTCATCAGAGCCGACATCTTCTCCTCCAACGCTTTCAACTTCTCCGCATTGTCCGTGTTACCAACCGTTACAGTACCCTGTGACTGTCCTGACCCTGACGCACCCGTATCGGCACTAACCTGCTGCGTAGCCGGGAAACCCATGAACTTGCGCATGCAAGCCGTGCTCCTGTGACCAACCTTCTTGCAGTGGTAGCAAACGTCGCGCTCATGGTTACCATTCTTAGCAACGTGCTCCGAAGATCCACACTTGTTGCACTTGTTCACCATGGCCCGCTTGAAGTCGTCGTAGGTTTTGCCGTTAGAACCAGTGTTTTTAGCCGGGGCCTGTACCTTGGTCACCCGAGTAGCGTCGATGTCCATCGCGTCTGGAGCCGGGATCGAGGAAACGGTAGAGTGCCTACTCTTGCCGGACTTTTCCTGATCACGTTCGCGGATACGTTCACCAGCCGTTTGTGCCGCACGGTAGACGTCGTCCAAGCTCTCCTTGTTGTACGTCAGATTGATCATTACGTCCTTGACACGTTCAGAGAGACCATCACGGAATTCTCGGGCAAGGACAGTATCGGGCCAACCAGTACGAGGGGCATGTTCATCGAACTTGGCTTTGTACTGTTCCACTGAGCCTCTGCCTTGGGACAATCCTTCCAGCGCCTGCTGAGCCGTGGTCTTAACGTCAACCGGTTCGAACCGTTTACGGAAAGCAGTCTCGAATTCAGGCCAATCCTTGAATGCCAGCTGTCCTAGACCAAGCTTCTCCAGATAAGGGAGTGCCCATGACTGTGCCTTGTCCGTGAGGAAATTCAGAGCTGATCCAATCCACTTCTGATCGTTCCGTGTCCAGCTGCCATCCGGGTTCGCTATGTTCATTGCAGTTCCCTGGTTCTGTGCCCAATTTACGAAAGTTGCCAGGAAGAACCGAGATGATGAAAGGTCACCGCTGCCGTTGAACATCGAAGGTTTCGCTACGACACCCTTGCCTGTGCTTGTACCTGCTGCTACTGCCGCCGGGGTTCTACTGATCGTTGCCGACAGTGCCGAGACTTGTGCCCTTAAGGCGTCCGTGTGTACTCCAAGGTCGTGAATGCCAGCCGTGTTTGTGCTCTGAACAGCAACCGTGTTTTTCAGGACGTCCAAAATGTTATCGATCTTAGCTTGCTGTGCCGTGATCGCCGTGTTTACTGCGTCGAGACCCCTGGTGATGGTGTCTAACATAGACGACATCTCTTGTGTCGTGAACGCTGACATTGTTGGTGGGGTGGGAGCTCTAGTCCCGGGGAATGGTGTATTTGTCTGTGATTGTGCAGGGGTACGGTGTGATTCTACAGGTATCGAATCGCTACTGGTTGTCTCTGAACCGGACTCTGATCCCTCTTCTTCGCTACTATAAAGCTCTAATCCTTCCAGTCTCCTAATTCGGCCTAGAGTTTCACTCTTACAGTCGGCCTAGACTTGTAATGCTTTTCTCTATCTATTTCACTAGCAGTTACAACCTTTTGAGCTGCGCTAGTCCTATAGATTCGATATTACACTCCAAATCTAAACGCAGTCGTTCGAGCTATTCCTCTGTATTGGGAATAGGGGAATCCAAGCTCAGCCTTCTCGGCCTATTGCAAGGACTGTACAGTATAGGACAACGTAGATGATGCTACGCTGAACGTTATAGTATGGATTAAAACACTAGAGGCCCAAAAAGGCGTAGTGAGTGGATGTTGTGATGATGGGTGTGTGTGTGTGTGTGGGGAGAGTGTCAACACGAGTAACTCGCGATAACGGAGGGAATGGGGCAGTTATGT